AGTATCCCTTCACCTGATTTAGGAGTATCCCTTTACCTGATTTAGGAGTATCTCTAAACCTGGTTTAGAAGTATCCCTTAACCTGGTTTAGAAGTATCCCTTAACCTGGTTTAGAACAAGCACCAAACAAACTCAATTTATTTTTGTGTGTGATTACGCACCTAATTTACAAAATGCTAAATATTTCATAGCTTTAATGTAATTATCGATTAAACTTCAGAAATAAATTTCTATTATCGAGATAACTAGATGTCTCCAAACCTTGTCTCAAAATTTTGTTCTTCGCTTCGTCCATGATGGATGTTCGCGGTTAGAAATCAATAATAATAATAATAATAATAATTTATTTCTTAATAAATAAATCAATCCTAAACCCGGTTTCGTGTAAGATTGCTTCATGATAGAACTAACTGGAAGGATAAAGAATTAATAGGCTTGCCTTGAGATTGAGAATGGTGTGTTTTGAGGAAAAGACTATATCTCGGGCGTAGAGTGCTTTTCACGGGCCCCTCACAGCCCAATTCACATACATTTACTGTATTTTATGGGGGTCCTTCTCCGCCCGGAATGTAGTCTTCGCCTCGCGGCACATATGTTTTCTTTTGAAACCCATTTGAAAGCCAATTTTTCGATTCCTATAATATCTAAAGCATGGACAAATCATAAAGAGAAGTGTCTGTATGACTGTGAAAAACTCAAGGTACAGGAATGGCTTTATAAAACTATCATTTTCTAAAGAAAACACTTGTCGAAAACATTTCAAACTTTAAAAAACTTTACTTTTGCCTATATATATTTTGAAAACATTCTTATCAGCAAGAATTATAATGACAATTTTTTTGCAGTTCATTCAAGTCTAGGCATGCTGCGTATATTTGGTCAACAATATGAAGGTATTCTTTGTAGTTATAAACGTCCGCTAACGAAATAAAATAAAATATATCAATCCAAATATTTTTGCATTTGCAAAGTGCTTTCTATCATTTCTTGTCAAAATGAAATATTTTTCATCAACAACGACGAAAAATGCTATTTCTACAATATTTGATGAATTTTTTTACGTATGAGTTTTATTTTCTTCATTTTCGAGTAAAAGTTGTTGTTTATCGAACCGAATCTCGATTTAATTAAGAAATATTTAATGTTCGCTGATTGGCTAATTTGCTGAGAGAAACAAAATCACCTGGCTTCATAGAAACGGCCGAGAAGGTTCCATCAACCAATCAGATTGCTCGACGTCATGGGTGCTCTTTAATAGTGCAGTCTGCGACACGGCTTCAGTCTTTTTATCTCCAACTTGGTCAATTTTGAGTGCAAATGAAAAAATGAGGGATTTCTTTCTCACACACTTACACACACTTGTCTTTTTATCTCCAACTTGGTCAATTTTGAGTGCAAATGAAAAAATGAGGGATTTCTTTCTAATGACGATCTTCTTTTATCAAGTCTGTAACGTTAAAGGTAAAGAACTAGATATCATTAGGAAGGAAGGAAGTCCTTTAAGATGAGCTCACGAAGTAAATCAAACTTTTAACTAAAAAATCTCTGAAGTTGATATTCCAAGAAGGAAGATTGAGATCAAGTCAAAAATTCTTTGTTTTGGATATTTTTCAGTATTCTAACGTAAGAAACTTGGCATTTCATCATGAAATTTTAAATTCAAGCAGCGGCGAATCAGAGAAAATTAATCTGTTCAGAAATATAACGAATGATATATCGAGTTTACTTTAATACTTAATGGCACCCATATTGTGTGTAATTTCAATATATAAATCCCTATTTATTTTTTTCATTCTGGGAACCATATATCAAAAAATACCCGCAATACCGAGTTAATTTTACAATTCTGTTCCTAGAAACTAGAATTTTTACCATCTATATCAAAGTTTGACTGTTAGTAGTTAAATTTATATGTTTTATAGTAAAATCCTTTCTATACTTTTTTTTAAAGTAAAGCTAAGAATTAAGAAGGAAGGGAAACTATGAAATGTCAAAGTCATTATTTCTAAAAACCAGCACGTTTTTTTTTCTTCTTTGTTTAGTTAAGTTTATATTTTCTTAATGAAAACCTTTCTTTCAAAGCGATTTTTAGACAAATTATTTATCATTTTTAAAGGTACCGAGTGAAGCAAGAAAAATTAAGGAGAAATAGGAAAGAAACGAATTTTAAAATGTCACGAGTTTGTTATCAAAAACAAAGTTTTGCTTAGTTAAATTTATATATTTTTAGTTAGACAATTTCTTTAAAATCGATTTTATTATTTATCTATTTTAATCATTTATCATTATTTTAAAGACACCTAGTAAAGCTAAAAAAAATATTACGGAGAAATGAGAGAAAATTTAAATTTAAAATGCTAAAGATTATCTTTGAAAACAAGGCAAGTTTTATGGCTAGAAATGAGTGATTATACAACATAAATTGTTAATGAGTGATTATAACAGCACGCAGTGTATGGTGCTTGATCATTCAAGTCAT